CTGAACGCCTCTTTCCCTTTATGAGTTCGATAGATGACTCTCCTCCCCTCTGAGAGAAGCGACTGTTTGTCGGCGTTGCCTGCATGTTGTCGGTTTTATTACAGTGTACTTTGTCAAACTGTGAAGAGATGGAGCTCTATGCAACAAACACCTTCAGATTTTACAGAGGGGGGCGTATTCAAGCCTATTCAAGCCTAAAGGAAGGCGGGAAAGAGATGAGTTGTCGGCTATACAAAGCTTGGGGTAACACTAACCTGCGCGGTGGAAGTAGCCTACTGTGTTTCGTTCAGCAACGAAACAATTAAGATTCATTCAAAGGCTCTACTGCAGGTATCGCGTCGTATGGGTCTTTCGTCGCACCTACTCTGGGCGCGAAGGTTCATACACACCTCCTGCGATAGACCGTGTGTTGGAGACACCAGCGCGGGTCGTCCACGAGGGTCCCTGAGGAACTGGTGCCTTCAGTTTTTAGAACAGAAAAATTGTTTCAAAGTCCAAACCACCCTTTGCCAGAAGCAACCCACCCAACCCTGCTCTCCTATGCATGTCGAGTGAAAATAAAATACCCTTGTTCAAATTCTGAACCAATTATTTCGATTTGCCGGGGAGAGCATATGATGCGCATCTACGCCATTCCCAGCTCCCTACGCTTGCAGTCCTTCATTCATATATACAAAAGCGTTTATCGAAAGAGCGAAAGAGAGCCACGGATCTACGCTACACGAAACCCAATCCACCTGGGTGCCGACGATCCCCACCAACAACAAACACCCCAACCATCCACATCTCCTCCGACCCACGTTGCTTGGAAGAAGAGCATGTCCTTTCGCGCAAGCCACCGACAGAGCACCTACCTTGACTCGTTCCCAACAGACGTAAACTCTGTCTTGCAATAAACCCGATGGTTCGTTCAATACGAGGTACGCCCCAACCCCCCGCCCACCGCGTCATTATCAACACCATGCTACCCGCTAAACCCCCCCGTCTACCCACTCCAAGCCATGGCGAAACCGCCACG